CCTTCCTTCCTTCCTTCCTTCCTTCCTTCCTTCCTTCCTTCCTTCCTTCCTTCCTTCCTTCCTTCCTTCCTTCCTTCCTTCCTTCCTTCCTTCCTTCCTTCCTTCCTTCCTTCCTTCCTTCCTTCCTTCCTTCCTTCCTTCCTTCCTTCCTTCCTTCCTTCCTTCCTTCCTTCCTTCCTTCCTTCCTTCCTTCCTTCCTTCCTTCCTTCCTTCCTTCCTTCCTTCCTTCCTTCCTTCCTTCCTTCCTTCCTTCCTTCCTTCCTTCCTTCCTTCCTTCCTTCCTTCCTTCCTTCCTTCCTTCCTTCCTTCCTTCCTTCCTTCCTTCCTTCCTTCCTTCCTTCCTTCCTTCCTTCCTTCCCTCCCTCCCTCCCTCCCTCCGTCCCTCCCTCTGTCCCTCCCTCTCTTCCTTCCTTCCTTCCTTCCTTCCTTCCAGGTAGAATGGAAGAACCATTTACCTAGACAGGGAAGAGGTTGAGTGTGTGGAGGTGGGAAACCGTAGTTCAGGTTTGCACAAGCGAAGTGAGAGTTGCCTGCGAGGCTTCTAGGTGGAGGTGGGAAGTGGGCTGTTGAGTGTGCAGGCCCTGAGCTTTCGGGGAGGGCTCGGAGTTACAGGTCCGTGTTTTAGAATCATCTGAGTGTGGGTGGATGGTATTTAACCCATGCCAACGAAGCATTCTCTCCGTGAGCCGTGGTAGGTCAATCATCGCGGCCCCGTGGTTTTAGATTGGTTTTATACCACTTCACAAAGATCCGCCTTTCTCTTTGTAACGTGTAAGAATTAGTCTGTCATATAGATACACAATAACGTGAAGGTAAGACTACCCGGTTTAAGAATCAAAGTGGAATTACCCACTCACCTAGTTTTCTGATGCAGTACCATTTAAAAGTAATTGTTGAGTCGGTCGAAAATCCAATTTGACCCGTAAATTGAAATTCAGTCTAAAAATTTACTCAAGAACTGCTCATTGGAATAGCTGTCGATAGAGCGGGTCCCCGCGTAAAAGTTGGAGTTAACAGGAAAAAGTGTGATAAAGGAGATTGGGTCAGAATTTAATTCCGTTACATCCCTCGGTAAATTAAAAATGGTTAGAGAAACGAATGAATGGAGGTGGCACTGCCAAAGGACGCGCTGTGACGCGGGCGTGGAGAATGATGGCAGGGTTTAGTAGAAGATGGCAGGGTTTAGGGACATTGAGAGACGTTCCGTGCACGCTGCACTGAACGAAGGATGACGACAGCGGCTGCACCGTCACGCGGTTTGAGTTAAATGCACATCGTGTACGCGCATCTTTTTAAAAGACGGGAAGAAAACATCAACATGTTAAAAATTCTCTGTGTGTGTGACCATGCTTTGGCCAGGTGTCACTCAAGTTTCAGTGTTGCTTCCCCTGAAACTGATAGCCGCCCACTAAACTCCTTACGTCATACCTTTTTTAAAAAAAATAGTCTGCAGAGCACATACTACTCTCTGATTTTAAATTTTTGATGACAGCTTTATTGAGATATAATGCACGTATCATACAAGGCACCCTTGAAACTGTATAATTCAGTGCTTCCGGCATGTTCACAGGGGTGTGAAATCCTCAGCATAGTCAATTCCAGGACACCCTCATCACACCAAAAAGAAACCCATGTCCGTTAGCCATCGCTACCAGCCTTCGGTGACCACTGGCTTACCTTCTCCCGCTCTGGATTTGCCTGTTCTGGACAGTGCATGTAAAAGGAGCATCCCGTACGCGGCCTTCCGTGACTGGCTTCATTCCCCTAACATTTTCAGGTTCATCCATGTTGGGGCATGTGTCAGGACCTCAGTCATTTTTGCGTTGAGACGTGGCGACTAAAGACAGTGGGTGTGACCTCAAACATTCTGCAGGTCTCCTGGGGATGTGAGGAATTCTGGGGGGATCTACAAAGGGACCAGGACGACTGGCATTTCCGTGAACAGGCGGGAGTATTGGGGGTCACGCTGCGTGGTGGCACCCCTGTGGGCCGTCCTCTCTGCAAATTCCCCCCTTCTCTCCCACCGCTCCCAATTTCCATGCCCCTTCCTTTCACCCACGGGCACTCTGACTTCTCCCGTCTTGGACTGTACTGTACTGTCTTGCCGTTGACTCTACTTATCTGTCTCTCCCAGGACAAAAGCTTCTTGGGGCTGTAGACGATGCCTCAAAATCAAGCAGTATGTGATAACGAGCTGACCCTCATTACGATACGGAAGTGTGTTGGTTCATTAACACTTTTTGTAAGCAGAGAAAGCCCTGGGTCTGGAACCTTTAGCAGGAAGTGGGGGGGAAGCCTTCGATAAACTTCTGCACAGACAGAGCCTCTTGCAGCTTCAGTATAAGAAGATTTATACAGAGAAAACCAAAACAATAATTTATAAAGATCTATGCACTCCAGTATTCATGGCAGCACAATTTACAATAGCCAAGATATGGAAGCATGGGTAAAGAAATTATGGTTCATATATATACAATGGAATATTACTCAGCCATTAAAGAAATGAAATCCTACCATTTGCAACGACACAGGCGGACCTAGAGGTTATTATGCTGAGTGAAATAAGTCAGACAGAGAAAGATAAATGCCATGTGATTTCACTTATATGCAGCATCTAAGGAACAAAAAGAACAAACTAATCAAAAACAGACTCACGAATACAGAGGACAATCTGGTGACTGCCAGAGGGGAGGGGAGTTGGGGGGCTGGGAGAAAGGGGTGAAGGGTTAAAGAAGTACAAATTAGTAGTTGATAGTTGGTCACGGGGATGGGGAGCACGGCAGAGGGAATACAGTCAGCATTAATACGATGGCTCGGTGGAGGGCCAGGGGAGGGAGGGAGCAATTGCTCGAATTGATCGTTTTATGAACTATATGGATGTCTCACCAATGTACTGTATACTTGAAACTAATTTAAATAAATAATAGAAATGGTCAGAGGCTCAGAGGGCGCCTCTACGCCCCCAAGACGTGAGTCTCGGCCTGGCCAGTTCTCGCCCAGCTCTCGTTCATGTGGCTCTCCACGCCCCAGCACGCACTTTTGGGGAAGGACCCTTCCTCCCTCCCTGGAGCCTGGGCTTCTCAAGCCAGCATTTCCAACCAAACGTTTGTCTGCATTCTTTATAACCCCTGCGAAACATCCAGCCCGCCAAGCTGTCTCCCAAAGTAACAATCGCTCCAGTTAGAAATGACCATGTGTTCTGAGTGCTTTTCCCATACTTTGATTTTTCCAACAATTTTGCAAAACGGGAGGATTTTTAGGAATGTCTCTGTCACATTAGGGCAGAAATACCTCTACTTAAAAATTTTATGATTGGGATCATTTTTATTTTTACTTTTTAATGTGAAAGTACTGTGTTTATTGGAAAAGGAAAAACAAACCGTATAAAGTGTATAAGGTTAAAAAAAAAAAAAAGGAAGACTACAATCCTTCTCTCCAGATACCCCAGGTTACCCAATTTTAAGTCCTCCAAAAACGTGATGTTAGTTTCTGTGTCCACCAGTGGCATACATGGGGACCCATTCACTTCCCCCGTTACTAGTTGATGGCGTCCATTAGAGTTACTTGTAGCAATAAAGCAGAATGAAGGTGGACACTTTCCTCTTAGACTTTTCCACCAAATCACTTGCTGAATCTTCTCACCCTTAGAGAATTCAGACATTTTGGTGTGAAATAATTTTTTGCCATTTTTCTCCAAAGACAATTTAGAATGCTGCTTTCATTAAATTAGATATTCTTTTCAAAGGGCTGAGAAAGCAGTAGCGAGCCAGGCCCTGTAACGTTCCCCGTGAAACATGACAGCGGCGTCATTTTGATCTCGCTCCTAAATAAGCTTTCTACAAATACAGGCAGAGCATGCCGGGCTGCGGGCGTATATTCACGGGCATGTCATTAGTAATGTGACGTGATGGCTATTTCCCAAACGTTTTCTTCATAGTAAATATTTTATTTTATCGAATAGGATGTGTTTGTAGTAAGAAAATCGAATAATCAGTAACTTGAAAATTCAGTTCTCTTTTCCCTTTATTTTCTTGCTTTCACGTGAATGAGGTTGAATGTCACCAGATAACACTGGTAAATGGTTTATTAAAACATATTTTGGGTTGGTTGGTTCTTTGCTCTTAAACTTTGACACTTTTCGTGTCTACAGAAATAGAGAAATAGCCGCAGAACTTTTTTCACTAGCTTCGTTTTCAGCTTTTTGCCCTTTTGATCTGAGAGGATATGTTTAGGGGGAAAAACATGTCCCCGTGAAAACTAGTGCTGTGTAATTCTTCTCAGAGACACGTTTTGGTAGTTGTGATGGGGGTCGAAATTTCAGTCATCACATATAAATGCAACACATATACATTAAATTATCTTTAGCATACATGGTTATAATTTTTTTTTTTTTTTCAAGTTCAGTCTCATCAACTACCTTTAGCCTACATGGTTATAATCTTTTTTTTTTTTTTTTCAAGTTCAGTCTCATCAACTGCCATGAATTTGGTCTCTGGGGTATGAAACCTCACATTATTTCGGCTTTATTGAGTGAATGTACAGACATGTTGCCGAGAACTACCATGCCAAAGAGATGTGTAGAGCAGAGACTTTTCTTTAAGAAAAAGTCTTTAGAGGGGCCCTGCCATCATTAATAATTAATAATAATAACGATGGTAATGATAATATCCTTTGTTAGGCAGGCACTCAGGTATCTCGCTGAACGTTCGTACAACCTAAACGGGTAGGTATTTAATGCTACCATTTGTCATATAAACAATTATAATGCCACAGGGGTCTGCAGGTTCGCTGTTTCTTAGTAATGCAACATGGAAAGGTCTCCTTTTTAGTCGATGCCTTCTGGTTTATAGCCGCCAAGCCCTCTGTGTCCTTGTGACGTTCACCAGGTCCCGGGGGATGGAGACCTGGTTGGTTCTAGACACCCCTGCTCCGGAGTCCCCTCTGTCGGTCTCTCCCGGCCGCGGGGTAGCTGACACCCCCCTGTCTCCCCTCTGCCACAGCTCCAGGTGAAGATGAGCGAGCGGGCCGCCTCGCTGAGCACCATGGTCCCCCTGCCTCGCAGCGCGTACTGGCAGCACATCACGCGGCAGCACAGCACGGGCCAGCTCTACCGCCTGCAGGGTAAGTGCGGCGCGGCGTGCGCCACCAGGCCGGGCGGGGGGTGGGGGCGGGGGACAGTGCCTGGCCGCCCTGGGGGCGCGGCTCAGCTCAGCTCCACCCTGCCACCACCTGTTAGATGCCAGGCTGGTTAGTCACCTCCTTTCCAGGTCAGGACACCCATCAATGTCGCTCACTCCCCAGACACTTGCTCCACCCCAGAGTCCTGGGGGAAACTGTTTAAAATGCAGATTTTTGGGCCCTCAGCCCCAGAGAGTCTGTCTACACCTCAGGAGCTGGCAGGTGTGGCTGAGCCATTTCACTGTCAGCAAATACCTCGCGGGGTCTGGGCGCCCGTTTGGGGGCCGAGAAATAGCCTAGTGGACTGACGGCCGATGGCCTCAGCATTGCTTGGGAAGCCACTATATGCAGATCTGGAGGATACCGAGGCTGAGGCCTGGCTGTCCACGTGTTACAAGCCCTTCGGGGACCCTCGAGCTTAGGGACCATGCCCCAAGGAGTCCTGGGTTCAGGTTCTGCGTGACTCTGAGCAAATCCTAAGACTCTCATCTTCCAGAAAAATGGTCTCTGAAGCAGGGTACGGGATAGCCCGTGGAGGGGACGACAGGGACAATGAGAAATCCTATGTCAATATTCGCTTAGCCTTTCAAAGGCGGCTTTTTTTCTGTTGTATGGCCTCTAAGGACAGCCAGAGCGTATATCATTTACAGACAGATAGGCCTGTGGGGGACCCTGACTGAGGAAGTGTCCACCGATGGGATGGAAGATTCTAGAACTTTGAAGAGCACCCCCGGGACTGCGCCTGGCTGGGATGCAGGAATCTGCTGAGTCAATGATTGCAAGAGCGAATGACTGACCGCGGAAACCAGCGGCCCCGGCCGTAACGCCTGCCCCCTGGGCCCTGGTCACCCTGCCTCCCTCCCTGTCAGTCCTTTCTGCCGCTCGCTTCTCCCCCAGGAGAGCTCGTCCCGCCCTTTCCCCGGGGGACGCCCTGGCCGTCCTCTCCTAGTCCCCTCCTCGGCTCCAGTCTCACCTCCTCTGCCTCTCAGACCGCAGCCCCCAGCCCCCTCCCCGCCACACCGCCTTGTTAGTGGAGCGTGGGAATCTCTGTCGACAGGTGCCGGCGAGCCGAGGATGAGGGCATATGCTCCTTTACCGTCCTCGTCACAGTTCTCATTTCACGTTTAATCGTGAGGCCACTTGACTCACGACCAGCTCCTCCAAGAAGCAATAACGCCAGCGCGGGCAGGAGAACTGTGTCCTTTCTTATCCTCATCATTTTGCCACCCAGGGCCTCGCATGGAGCAGTAATTCCATAAATGTTTATTGAACGAATGAATAACATTAAGAGGGCACCTAGGGTTACGTGTATCCTAGTCTTTATGACGTCACACTCTCTGTTCATTAGCAGAGGGCACGGCACGTTGTTGTGGATGATCAAAAAATATATCCCGAATGCTGGTGTCAGTGCCCGAGTGAGTGACTGCGTCGCTAAATAGTTGATAGATAAGCTTCCGTACCTACAGAGGGAGGGAGAGAGTTGGGTTAGAGCAGGTTGTCACAGATGCCATTTGTTCCCAATCATCTTCAGAAATGTTTGCAGTATTTGAATTATATCATCACAGTTTCTGTCATACATACCGCTTATGCTGTTATTCAATCTTGTTCAGTCTCTTCTACTTAAATACATTATACATATCTTCAAGGAATATGTATTTCACTAACTTTAAACTATTATAACAGCAGACTCTATTTTTTCTAACATGCAATAAATAATAATTGTTGAACCATAAGAACTTATACTCACACAAAGCTATTGAATGGCTTTATAACTTGACTTTCTACACATACTAAGGTAATCTTTACAAAAAAAGGTATGTCCTTTTGGATTCTATGTGTCTGGAATGCAAAAGAAGATTGAGAACCGAAGCGATGTAGGTTTCGTGGAAAAGAACTTAATTTGCCTTCACTTCTGAGATACGGCACGGTCATTTGAGAATAGTCAACTTGCCCCAAAGTTGACAAATCACTAATACCATGTTTGCAAAGATGCCTCGAGACTGAGGAAGGCCTGAGCACTTAGGATAAGTGGTAGTTTCAGAATTTATTAGCAAATATCCCAGGACGATCTGGACAGAAAATGTCATGTGAAGAATATACTCATCTTACCATGCTGGACCAATCTAACCGTCCTTAACCAAAATAAGTATGCACTCATCCGAATTAGTTAAGGCTAAGGGTCTTAGCAGGGCCCTTGTGTAATAACATATTTTTAAATCTTCTTAAGTTGAAAGAGCATGTTTTAGATGCTGCTGGCACACCGTTTGTGTGCTCCTAGGATATCTCTGACTCCCCCGACAACGTTTATATCTGAATTTTGTGAAGAAAACGACTCCGTTATCTAGAACACAGACACATTTTCTTTTTTCTTTTTTTAGCGACAACAATAAAATTTGCAAATTTACCTGCATGCAAAAAGCCCATATTATGGTTGAAAGGCCATACATAGCCGATGGCTCTGGGATGTCCCTCTCAGAAGACTGGGAATCCACGAAATCCAGAATAACCAGTGTGATAATGTCGCCTCTAGAAGTAGAGCAGGGTGATACAAAACATCGTGGCCAAGGAAGACATTCACGTTCTTTGAGAAGTTTCTCTTGTTGTTTTTATCAAAAATAGCAAGCTGTAAACCAAACAACTCCTCACAATGAGATTTAGGTTTAATCCCTTTATATTGAGGTGTATTATTTATTATCCTTATAATCGATCACTCATACTAATAAGGTATTACTGTAAAATCAGGTTGAAGTTTATTGGTATAGATTTTTCACATGAACCCAGTAGTATGTACAGTGTTTTGAAGAAAGTGGTGATTTAGTTTCTGATGAAATAAATGGCAGCGAGAACAAGAACAAATAAATGCCTCAGAATTCCTGCAGAGATGCTTTTGTGATGGATAATTATAGGGTTTTGAAGATGATCGTGTCCTAGATTTTGAAGATGATAATTAAAACTTTTATTGTTTGTTTTTTTTTGCTACATACTATGATCTTCACTGAACATAAAGTTTTATTCGAATTCTTACATTAGGCTGCATACTAATCCTCCATGAAATATCCTATTATCTTGAAATATTTCTATGCATGAGAATGGCATTGTAATTGCTTCAAATTATTTTTTTTGCTGAGTGTTTTACACCAGTTATTTCATCCAATTATTTGTTCTCAGATACTTTTGTTGCCTGTGTAGGAGTCATATAAATGTATTTTATTTTGGTATTTGATTCATACCAATGGTTACTGAGATCTTTCCTCAGCCACATGATCTATGTAGATTTGTCCACATTTATTTTATCTTGTGGATTACTTTTTAGTCTAAGCCAATGTTCTTTGAGATACAGTGCCAATATGTGGTCTGTGTGTAGTATGGGACATAATTTATCACTAATTTGTTGCCTTAAGGAAATATCGTTCGCAGACTACCTAAAATTATACTGCTTATCGGGGTGGTCATTTACATGACAGATAAATGGAATAAATTTCTGTATTGTTCCTCCTATGCTACCTGCCTTCCTCCTTCCCTTCTCCACTCCAAAGGGGGGAAAAATGAAATTGGAAAAAATTAATGACATCATGGCCTGTGTGTGCCACGTGACGAAATTGCATGGCACGTTATTCCTTCTTGTTTTGCTGGTATTTATGAGTTGTAATTTCTCTGGTTAATTCCCCTGCCTTGATGTATTTCATGCTGACTTAACCCTCAAAATCTGGAGGTTAATCCTGGAAATCATACAAGTCCTAATGAGGGAATTTTACTGGTTTAAGAAAAATTTTCATTTCCTCCCCAAATTTAATCCTAGACCGCCATCTGGTGGTTCATTTTGGAATTGTCATTGTGCTGTTTTTGGCCGGGAGAGGAAGGTGCTGGTTCTGACACGTGCTGCACGCTCTGAGATGTATTTAATCCACTGTCTCTACTTCTCCCATCCCGTTTTGCAGTTTTCATAGACAAGTTCTCTTTTAAGATTAGGCACATACAGAATCAACATGCAAAGGAGGTTTATTGTGAAAACTATGGAAGGAATTTATGAAAGAGCCGCGTTCAACAGGTGTCTGTTTAGAACTGCAATCACAAGAGGCGTCTCGGAATGCATTGCACAAAATAGACACAGAGCCATGTTCTCCCATCTGTGTTCTGCATTGTCCTAACCTGGGTAACGATCACCCCACCCCCAGAAGTAACGCTACATGTTAACTCTCCTTTTCGAAATTCAGAATGCAGATCAATACCTTCAAGGCAGGGATGCAATAAATAATCTGTTTAACCTTGTTTCAACCAGAGACCTACAAATTCATTGAACGTGAAACCTCTGCTGCCCTTTTTATGCGAACAAACTTTAACGTGCCGCTGGCGACGTGCCAAATTGGTTCTTTACGAGGGAGGAAAGACATACTCGGAGAGCTGCAGGCTCTGCACTAGGCACTTAACCTACAGTATCTCATTCAGTCCTTAAAACAGCCACGTGAGAGTATGTTATGATCATTTGCAGTGAAGAAACTGAGCAGTTGAAGGGTTCGTACTGTGTCTGAGATCACCAATCCAATAAGTAGCTGAGATTTCCATCTCTCCACTTATCCTTCCGCTCATTCATTGCGTCGGTAAATGTTTATTGAGCATCTCCTTTGTGCCAAGCACGTGCTAGGTGATGGAGATGCCGATGCCGCTGGACCAGGTGTGTTTCTGCTCTCCTGGAGTTTATCGTCGAAAGAAGAGCCACAGTCCACAATTAACCAAGTGTATTCAGTTTCAGATTTGGTTCATGTCCAATTGAAAAGAAAACGTTTATAATAGAGAATAGCGAAGCGGGTTGTTGGTTTGTGGCAAATGATGACGGAAGGACTTCTTTAGATGGGTGGCCGCGAGAGGCTGTGGCATTGATCCCGACATCTGAAGTCTGAGAAGAGGCAGACATATTGAGAATGAGGAAAAATCGATCTCCGTAGAGACATTAGCAAGTTTCTGCTCTGAGGCAGAAACGAGATGGGAGGGTCTAAGAGCAGAAGGAAGGCAGAGTGGCTGGAGCTAGCCCCCTGCCGATCAGTTCTCCTGGCAACAGTTCAAGTTGGCAAGAGCATCACTGTCTTCTGAGGCAGAAACTGAGATGCTTAGGGGTCAAGCGCGTGCTCACTATCTCAGGGCCAGTGGACGGAGGCACTGGCTTTAGAACTCTGTGTTCTGACTCCTGGTCCAGGGCTGCTGCTTTGTTCTATCAGATGGTTTTACCTAAGGAAGCAAATCCTGCCCCCCGCCCTACCCCGGGGGTCTCACAGGCACACATCATTCCCCGGAAATAACTCCTCCGGGAGACTGGTTCCAGCCCGCACAATTCACATATGTGTTCTAAGGATGATAGATTCTTGGAGCAAGTGGCTACTTCGGAGAAGTTAGCGTTGGTTTTTCAGGATGGGTTCTGACACAGTCACGTACGTTGTACGTGCGGCAGTTAAGAGAGAAGTAATAGATGAAGGCCTGAGCAAATGTGGAAAGATGACAAATAAACCAGGGTCTCAAACTCATACGTCTGTAGGGCCAGGAGGACGTGCAAAGAGTGAAACAGGACAGGTATGGAGTGGTGGGTCCCTGGTGAATCACAGGCCTCCCTGGCAAAGGGCATCCTGCAGCCGCCTCCTGTCAATCATTGACAGGAAATAGGCCAGCATCACCTTCCGGTTTTACAAAAGAACAGGGAGATCATCGCCTTTATGGGAAGTGTCCAGTTACTTAAATACCAAGGAGCTAGTCCAAATGTTTTATGACCAGTGCTGGCCAGAGCACAGGTCTGGGCCAGGTGGTGCTATGGCCAGTGCCAGATCCTGACCTTTCTGTGAACTGCGGAAATGTAAGAAAATCTCTCACTCCGTTTCCTGGCTTTAAGCTAAACACGGCATTCAAGCCAAGCTGGAGAGATTCAGTTGGCCATCATGGTAGAAGCTGCAGGGTTTTCATTTCAGCTGGACCCTCAGTCAGTGCTATCAGTCACTTTGCTTGCAAACTCAAGGTTTAAGGAGCTACAGTTGACGGTACAGAGATGAGCTTTGCACAGGGCCAAAGATTTAGATTTTGCATTAATACTGGCTGCACGCTGTCTGTTTCCTGTGAGAAATCTTATCAAACTAAAACATGTACCTGGATTTTTACTTGTAGTTGATACATGTATAAAATCCATTAATATAATTTCTCTATGTTTCTGTGTGTGTGTCTGTCTGTGTGTGCACGTGCATGTGTATTGAAAAGAAAATAGGATTTGTGTTAAAAATGGCTGGGAGGCTGCAAGAAATGATTTCTAGTGATTTGGGATATTTTAATATTCAAGACTTTTCTCACAATCACTGCTTTTGTGTGCCAGCGACCATATGACTAGATATATAATTTTTTTATGGTTTAGATTTAAGGCACGCAAATACCTGAATCCGTGACTTTTTACTTTATTTAATTTTTGTTTTGACGTTGTGACCTCAGTAACACGTGCAGAACTTCACAGTTAGGAAACCCTTTGTCTTTCTTTTAATTGTCAAAGGTATCGGGAAGAGGGCAAAACAAATGTTTTCTCCCCATCTTGTCAAAGTTCACGCGTCTGATAGGAAGATCGTATGGGCTCAGACTGAGTTCTCATGGAGGGCAGAGCTGTTCGTGATCATATAATAAAAGAGCATGAATTTAAGGCTGGAGAGCCACAGGCCACCATCAACCTTTCTGCCTGGTTCAGTGTTTAAAACCAACGCGGTTCTGAATGTGTTTTGCTGGGGCAGGCATGCCCCACTGAGCCGCGGTCCCGTCTCTCTGTGTTTCATTCCCGCCTGATGCCCAGGTCTGGTTCTCGGCAGTGCTATGCTTGGTTCTCGGCAGTGCTGTGCTGGGTTCTGAGAGCTAGTCACACACCAACCGTGTAAATTTCGTGGCTCCTGGTTACGCTTCGCCAGCAGATGGCAGTAAAACCTCTCGTTTCTACGAAATCAAGTGATCTCTGCAGGGATTGGCAAACCACATCCAGAAGCCGATTCCAGCCTGCTGTCTGATTCTGTTAACAAAAATGTATTGGAACATCCATGCTCACTCGATGCGTGTGCCCTGTGGCTGCTTTTGTGCCGCAGGCAGCAGAGTTGCGCTGAGACCACAGGGTCTGCAACAACTAAAACATTTAGCATCTGGCCCTTTGTGGAGAAAGTTTGCCAGCCCCGTCTTATGTCTTGGGGGGGTAGGGGGGCTGACAGTGGCCTTGTGTGTTGCCTTCTGGACTTCTTCACTTTCTCAACTTGGAACCTAAACCTAAATGGATTTTAAGAAGGTCTCTTTTACAGCAAGATTTTGTAGATATAAGTAGAATATTGTCTTATTTCTGGTCAGGTTTTCGAAGAGTATCCTAGCTAAACATTTCCACAGTCCTATGATCCCGTCCCATTTTCCCTGAATTCCCCGGGTCTAGGAGCTGATGAAGATGAAAAATTAAGGAGGAAAATAACTAACTGCTCGTGGTCCAATTATAGCTTAGTGTAAAGGCCACATGCAAATGATATGTTAATCATGCCATCTCTCACGGCTCTCATTTGCATATTACTGTGAGTGGCCTCTGGGAAAAAGAATCCTGGGTCATATGTTATTTATTTCTGTTATATAGAAACTCGTTACTAGCTAATTTGATTGTGGGCTTTCTCGACATGTAACTGTTTTAAAATTTTTTTTGGAAAAGATGTCGCCAGCCCTCTGAAGCTTCATCGAACAGAGACTTTTGCCGCCTACCGATCTGAGCACTGACAGTAACTGCCAAGGATGGTCATGTGACACACGTGCGATGTGTCAGCCACAGATCCAGCAGGAGGTCGCAGGATGACAGCGAGAGAAGGAGGAAGAAAAAGGAGCTTCCAGCCCTGGCTAATCGTGTGATCATTGGGGAACTGCAATACAATTCTTTGTCTTTCTTTACGCCTTTCTTTTCTTTTCGTTTTTTCTTTTTCTAAAAAAAAAAAAAAAAAAAATCTTAGCGTAATGGAAACCTGCTCTGTAGACATTGACCTTTCGTTCCCCCTTTTACAGCTGGACAGAAAGGAGTCAATGCCGCAAAATGATTTTCTATCGTAGGTACCGTGTTCCTTGCACTTCTCAGAATCTGTCCTTTTGTGGGTTCTTGTGATTTTCCCTTCCGAGTGGTTTAATTGTATGACGATTGGTACTGACAATAAAATGGCTCTTAATTGTTTGTCATTCGTTTATGCCGTATCCCTCTGTTACTACTAGTACAGTGCTGGCGGACTGTAAGAAACCATATTTCATTACCAGTTAATTCAGTCAGCGCTTTACTCGGTCTTAACTGCAATGTTAAGAAAAACCTTTTCAAAGGACTCACTCTTTCGTATTCTCTACACGGTCACAGTTTCTCACACAATCTCACCCGCCCCTTTTTTTCTAGAGCCTTTATTTTGGTTGCAGGACCTTCGTAATACATTTTAAAATAAAAGGTCATTATTTGGCCATACAGTCTTTGGATCCTGGCGATATGGTTTCTGCTACACCTTCAGTATTTCTCAAGGTATGTGACTCTCTTCCTAAGGAGCCGTGAGCGTGGTTTGGCGTTGGGTTTGATGTAAGCCCAAACCCATTTGCCCACTCATTCATTAAACCGGTCTGTACTGAGCACCTGCTCCTCCGAGACACAGTGCTAGGTAGAGAGAGCCCAGGGATAGAGAGATAAAAAGACACCTGCCCTGTCACCGAGGACCTGAAGTGCAGGGGAGTGCAACAAGCGAATAAGGTCACAATTACAATACAGAGTGACAGCTGCTGGATGGACCCCTGGTGGTGACATACTTCTAAAGAGAGGTCACGCTGTTCCCCAGGCTTCCCCCGCCCCCCGCCCCCGGGTACCACCTGATGGGAACTGACTCCAGTGAGCTCCTGAGACTGGAGATGCTATAAAGCTGGGGGAGTGGGCGTGGTGTC